CCTTGAAAACATTATTAAGCTATCGTGATCGGCGGGATTCGGGATTTCATAGGAAAATGGGGGCGAGATTTGGGATTGAAACTATGCACGGGATGTTGGATGCCAAAAATAACCATCAGGATTACTTGTTTGAGCACTGAACCGGGCGGGATTGAAGAACCAATCATGCTTCGGGGACCCTCAGTCATCTCTCTCTTAGTGAGAATCATTGGGACTGGTGCTGCGAGTTCGTCTCAAGCCGAGATGTCTAACTAAAAAGAGTGTGAACAAAAATGTATGAAAAAGGCGAGGATCAACTTCGTACTTTAGAGGTTATTGGCAGTGTATCAGGCAGTAATCCTGGAATCTGCTTCATCTATTTTATTTTTTATTTTAAGGCTGATTCAGAGCTCGAAGGTCGAGTATGTCTTGGTGTTCTCGATATTTTTGGTTTTGAAAACTTTGAAGTTAACAGGTGAGAAATTAATTTATTGTTTTATTGATTTATCAATTATCATTGGTTATGTAGATTGAACAGCTATTTTCCCAGTTTTGAACCAGTAGTGGTGTGTTTATTTCTCGCCAGAAGCTTTATTTTCGTTGTCTTGAGGCTATGCAGTTTGATTTCACACAAACCGCCAAATTAACCTAGTTTATAAATCTATCTGTGACTATTAGACGTCAAGCTTTGTAACAGCTTTTAATCCATTTCCTCCCGAACCCGCCCGCTCTCATTCTGGAATTGAACCACATCCAATTCACCAGTTTTAACTGTCATAGACAACTTTGACGCTATTATCTTGAGCAGGGAAATAGTTCTTCTAAATCAGACCTAAATTAAAAGATGAACAGAAACTAGAGTGACAAGCAAACCGCATGGGGAAAATGGGCTCAAACTATTAAGTTCTGTGGTAATTATAAGTTATAGTTACTTGATTGAAGATACGTGCCTCCGCACCTTCATAACGACTGGCTGAAGGACAATCCATGTAACTAAAGGTGGATTTCCTCTGTCGCTTAATTTTTACCTGAGTACACACGTAAATAAAATAGGGGCCATCTATGGAGTGTCTCCCGTAAACGTAAAATTTGAGCGAGGTGGAAATCCACCGTAACGTATATTTTCTCTTCCAGTTTTGAACAGCTGTGCATCAATTATGCAAATGAAAAGCTTCACAGTTTCTTCGTTGACCACGTTTTCAAGATGGAGCAGGTAAGTGAGAAAGTCTGGAATCTAGAGACTGGTATGGTGATAAAATGGAGGCTCAGAACATACAGCTATTTCGCGAGGGTTGTCGAAAAACGTGCAAGTCACAATCCCGAAAGGTATTGTGGGTGGTTTTGCGTTCAGTCAAGTTCTTCAAGGAAATTTGAAAGAATGGCAGGAGAGGCCATGAACGTATGTCTGCTGGTGCTAAAGGAAAGCAGCAAAAGTAAGTTCGACAGCTACAGTGTCAGGAACAGTATATTGATCATATCCCATATTACCTTTCGGGATTGTCGCGTGCATATTTTTCCGACAACCTTTCTCGAAGTAGCTGTATGCAATACTTCTTTTACAGCGTTTCCTGGTACATACAGCACAGCTGTATTGTGCCTATAAGACTACCACTAAGAAAACGAGAAAATTCAATCCTAGATCAGATCAACGATCCTTGTAAAATGCATTGGAGTATGTTCACTTGATAACTTTTGCTACTGACAATTTTTAGTATGTAGGGCATTTGCAGTGCTTGATTCCTAATGGAATGACCCACTGTGTTTTCTGTTCGGTGTAGGCTGAGTATAGTCGCGAAGGACTGGATTGGAGTCCTGTGGACTTTGTTGACAATCAAGAAGTTGTGGAAACCTTGGCAAATAAACCTCTAAACTGCTTTGCTCTTATGGACGAAGAGAGCAGATTCCCTCAGGTATAGATGCTGTTGGCGCTTATTTAATAAGTCAATAATCTGTCTCCTCCGGAAAATGAATGTAAGGCACACTCTACCCCTTGAATAAGAATCCCATACTAGCATACGAACGCTACACGACCGGAAATACGTCTGTGTTCGGAGGCTAATCCCAAACCGACCAAGGCTCGCGATTTCTATATTTTGTAATCAGAAAGCGTTCAAAACATGAATTTTCACATCTTGATAACGCAATCAAGCTACACTAACAGAACGTTGCACAATTCTAGAGCGATATTCACTGGATATTACTGACTAGTCGGATTACAATTACCGTAATTACGTATAGTAATACCTCATACACTTCACTTTCATAGTTATTCCTTTTCAGAAAAAATAGAGTACCGGTACAGTTCACTTGGAACACGAATTTCTATGACTCTCTCTCTCTACTTTGATTTAATTTGTTTTTGTCTTTCTCCTAAAAATATATTTAGTTCAAATTAATACTAAGCTTCTCTTGCCGTGAAGGACTTGTTTATTCAAATCAACTACCGTATTCACTATTTCTGCTTCCTTTATTTTTACAGGGAAACGATGAATCGTTTTTGCATAAATTGACTGCACATCATGTTAAAAGTAGCTGCCTTTTTAAATCCAAGTCTCGCTCCAGAGCTTCGTTTGGCGTGGTTCACTTCGCTGGAATAATTGAGTACGACGTTACAGGTGACGCGATTGCGAAATCTTTTATTTCACTCGCGAACTCCGAAATGTTTGCAGCCAGCGCACTGGCTTAGGAGGTTAAACAATGAATGAATCTCCTTTAACTTTTCCAGTGGTGTGAGTGCATAGTAAACCTTAGTTTTTTACGTCTTTTTTTAGCACTGAACAAGTTCAATGACAGTTTAAAAAGGTCTGAGGTTTTTGTAAGAGTTATCTTTGCCTGCTGACCTTCCTGGCGGAAGGGAATAAGAACTTGTTTATTGTAATATAAGATTTATGCGGATTTCCGCAACCCTTTATATTTGCATATGTCTGCATCTTCATAGGCATCCTGGACAAAAATAGAGATACCTTCAGTGCTGATCTTGTTGGGCTGGTCTGTGAAAGTAAAATGGAGTTCCTTTTTGACCTGTTCGCCAAGGAAATGTCCATGGTAATTATTAGACATGATTTTATGTTCTTTCGAAGCATAAAGGCCACGTCTCTCTGTTCTATTAAAATATAAACTCTAAAATAAAATGTTCACCGGCCGGGACGGTCTTATTGGTACAAATTAAGGCGCTATTTTTCCTCCGTGGCTCTTCACGGTCTCTGGCCCGTGTACAGCACGGACCCCTTCACTCTCTCCCTGATATATATATATATATATATATATATATATATATATAT